CATTAATTAACGAGTTACCTGTACTGTAGTATCAGGCACGATGTTTAGGGTAACATTTAGAAAAGCGCTCTGACCTAATAAATGCTTATAAATATCTGCAGGGTGGGTGTCAGGAGGACGGGGCCAAGCTCTTTCAGGAAGTTCTGTCTGAACATGAGGAAGAACTTCTTCCCTCTGAGGGTGACGGAGCCCTGGCCCAGGCTGCCCAGGGAGGTTGTGGAGTCTCCTTCTCTGGAGATATTCAAGACCCACCTGGACGTGGTCCTGTGCAGCCTGCTGTAGGTGACCCTGTTTGGGCAGGGGGGTTGGACTAGATGACCCACAGAGGGCCCTTCCAACCCCTACTATTCTGTGATTCTGTGATTCTGCTCCACTTTTCCGATGCTAATAGAACGAGGTTTTCCTGGCTATTGACTGCCTACAACTGAAGTTGAATTTTGAAGAAGTTTTGAGGTTGCCCAGACGATTGGGTAATTTCCCTCTGATGCATCCCAGAATCTGGCTGACTGAATGCTGCAGTCTGAGCCCCTCAGTGCTCTCTTTCCGGTTTTGTCTCTAAAATGAGGGTGGTTGAGTAATTGTATAATGCTGAGACTGCTGGAAATGCTGCCTGAGTATTGATTGATGTTCATACTTACTCCATCTTTTTTAAGCACTGTTACACTTCCAGTAAGGCTATGGGAGATGTCTCTGGCCCTCGCTCAATCAAAAAGGCATTTTCTTGTAGGTTATTAAGATTTTATTTATCTTGATCTCACAGATATTACATCAGAAGCAAAGCATTAATTTTAAGTGTTTTGACCTGTGAAAGAATTTGTAGGAGAAAAAAAATCTTGAAGGCCAGAAAATACCTCTGAAAACCACCTGAGGTGCTTGGTAGTCTGGGATATGGAGGGAGGGGGCTGTAGATTTGACAGAGGGTAGCAGTGATAACAGAACAGAACAGCAGAACAGAAAAATGGCTTGAGCATATTGAGGAAAACGGAGACCAAATGTATATATGTGTATATATATATATGTTTATATATGCTTTCCTTAGTGTGTCTGTTGTGGAAGTTACCTTGCAGAAAGTTCTCCACTACTGACTGAGGAGACAGCTATCTTTTCACCTGAAAGGAAATACTAGCAAAATAATCTGCTTGGTAAAACAAACTAAATGCAGCAAAATAAATTCCTTTGCCTGTAAAAATGATCCAATAAAATATTCATATAGTGTTTTTCTTTTTGAAGAAGCGCATCCTCAGGCAGCCCAATTAGATGTGATCACAGAAGGGACACGTTGCTGGTAGAGCACTGCATTTCTTGGCAACACAAAGCATACCGATTCTGTCTGAAGCTCAGATAATGCTATTTCTGTTGACCTTTTAATCTTAAAATTAATTTTATACTTTATCATGGAGATAACTGTGTGGCTTGTTTCAGTATTTCTGAAGGGCGGATTGTGCAGTCGCTGGTCGGGTGGTGACGGGAGCGTCACCGCTGCTGTTTGCCGTAGCTCTGTAAGCCTGCAGAGGGTTCTCGGCACTTCATGGCTTCACGGTGCCATCTGAAACAGAGCCACGCTGCCGGTTCTGCGCAAGGCTGGCGCAGCAGGAGCGGCTGATCTCACCATCAGCTGGGAATTTGCTGGTGGCTTAGTCTGGACTCTCGGGAGCTACTGGTGTAGTCGCGTTTGGACGTTTAGACCTGGCGATGAGAATGCTCTGCTTACAGCACTTCAAGTTTTAATTCTTGAGGCTGAAATGTTTTTTGAATTGCTGGTAATTGTTAGTAGTTCAGAGAAAATCAACACTCTGGCGTGTCAGGTTAAGTGAGGTGATAGAGGACTCCTTCACATGTCAGCAGGCTGTATGGGAAAGGGAAGCACTGTGACCCCTCACGAGGGTTTCACAGGTTGTCCTGGTTTCAGCTGGGATGGAGCTCATCTGCTGCCCAGTAGCTGCTGTGGTTTGGGTTGAGACAAATGGTGGTAACACACTGATGTTTTCAGTGGTTGCTAAGAAATCAGGGACTCTTTTTGTTAGACGCCCTTTTGGGTGCAGACATGCAGACGGGGCCAGCTGGCGTCGTAACGGGCCTGTTAATGGCACTTTGGTCGCTGGAGTCTCCTTGCCTGGATGGACTGACATCTCCTTGGTCGAAGGAAGCAAGGCTATATTTAAAAAGAAATAAATTATGGGAATGTTTATTCATTTCAATATTCTTCTTGAAAAATATTGCAAAATACTTATCTTAAAACGAAGTCTTATATGCTTTAAACGAACGTTTCATTTTATAATGAATTTTGTAAGTTTTTCAGAAGTTAATTACAAGGATATGGAGCAGCATTAGCTTGGCGGTTCTTTCAGTTTCTCAAGGTCTTCTTCAGGCTATGTTTGTATCTTAGCAACTCGGGAAACTGTGAGCCATGGGGAAAAAGAGCACTCGGCCAGACACGAGGCCAGTTCAGCTCTGCGCCGGAGCACCGCCTGAGCTCTCCGCTTTCATCCAGATTTCATCTCGATATCAATTACTATATTCTTATCCTGGAAACTTTCCCCCCCCTCCGCTGTGTGGAAGGTTTCAGTAAGACACACAGGTTTCTGGTCGCTCTTTCTGGTTTTTCCCTTTTGAGTCTTTTCTGCAAAACGACGGCTCAGGCCACCGTCCGCTCTCCCGCACGTCCCAGCGGGCTCCCCAGTTCCCGCCGGCTTACTGCCGCTCTGCTCCAGAAGGTAGGGCTTGAATGATCTTTTTTGCTCCATAGTATTTCCAATGCTTTACTCTTTTGCAATACTGTTAATAATAGGCTACAAGAAGGGCAGCCTGGTAATAAAAGCAGTATCATTGTGGTTTCTGTTGTAGGTGTTTACCTTTCTGAAGACCCGTAGGATTGTACGATTGGGTAGGAAATGACCTGTGAGCTCAGAATTATTCTTCCTGCTCTGGGAAATGGCTTGTGAGACACGAGTAAAGAAAAAATTGAAATTCAGATGTAAATAAACATTTTTGATATTTCTTGCGGCTTATAATATTTTGTTCTACTTCAAAGGCATGACTAAATAGTAATAGCACATAATTTAACTGAGACAGAATACCGTTTCCATAACTTTTCTTTCAAGTGAGTGTAGCGTGCATTCGTTCATCTCAGCAAGTTTGCTGATGACACCAAACTGGGAGGTGTGGTAGATACACCAGAAGGCT